CTCTTGTTACCCAGGCTGGAGTGCAATGGCGCGATCTCGGCTCACTGCAACCTCCGCCTCCTGGGTTCAGGCAATTCTCCTGCCTCAGCCTCCTGAGTAGCTGGGATTACAGGCACGTGCCACCATGCCCAGCTAATTTTTTGTATTTTTAGTAGAGACGGGGTTTCACCATGTTGATCAGGATGGTCTTGATCTCTTGACCTCGTGATCCACCCGCCTCGGCCTCCCAAAGTGCTAGGATTACAGGCTTGAGCCACCGCGCCCGGCCTGTGGGAAAATCTTGAAGGACGACTTATATTTACATTCTCGTTTTTAATGGAACTGCATGGGAAGACGATGGTGTACTATCAAGTATTGTAGTGAAAGAGTATCAGAGGAAAGAGTGCTGTGGTGTTGTTGGAAGTATGGGTTTTATCTACCAAGAACCTTGGGTTCTAGTCATAGCTTGAACTATGTCTAGTTGTGACCTAATTTGCATTAAGCAATGTTTTCATCATACACAGCTGAAGCTATATCCTAACTGACATGTCAATTCAAAGCTTAAGTAATACTTCTTTACATAACACTTTACAAAGCACTTTCACATACATTATTTCACTTGTTCTACTCAACAATCTATAAGGTAGGCATGACAAATATTATTCCTGTTTTACAAAAAAATCTGAGGCTCAGATGTAAAGGGTTAGAAAGGAAATTTGGGATTGAAAGCTAAGTTTTTAAACTTCAAATTCTGCCTGGTCCATGATGTGGTACAAATATAAAGCAGCAGAAACAAGCAAATTCTAAAGGATGGGGAATAAATTGTTACAAAAAGCACATAAATTCTGACACTAGCCTGAGTTCAAATCCCAGCTCTGCCACCTACTGGCCTTAGTCAATTTAGCTTCAGTGTCCTCCTGTTCAAAGTGAGGATTGTAGTATTTTCCTCCTAGGATTCTTACGAAGACTCAATTGGTTAATACATGTAAAATACTTAGCATAGTGTCGGGCCATCGTGAAGCACTAACCAAGTGTTGCCGATTATTATTATT